TGAACACAGGCCCTCATGCTCTCAATTGGCTTTTTTATTTCTCGTTTCATGCTCTACCACTTGAGCCACAGCTCCACTTCCAGCTCTTTGATGATTAATTGGACTTTTCTGCCCAGGCTGGTTTTGAACAAAGATCCTCAGATCTTAGCCTGTGAGTAGCTAGGATTACAGACATGAGCACCTGGCTCTACTGTACTTCCAAATGTCTATTCATGTGTGTGTGGTTTCCTTTATGTACCTTAAAGACATTTTTACTAACAGGCACACTGTATCTATGTCTCTTAGACAAGACACTGATTTGTAATTTCAGCAACACTAATATGTTGGCAGGTTATATTTAATGACTTGGCCGCCCTCCTCCCCCACCCAAGTCAAGACATTGCTTCCAGACCATACTTTACTGACTGATGAATCATACTTACTATTCCCACATTCAGTTCATAATGGTGAAAGGAGCCCCCCGGTCACTGTTCCATATAAAAGGGCTGCAGTGTGTATCGTGTTGCTGTGAATAAGGTACACACCCACTCCCTGCTCCTGTCTATAGTAACACCAGATCCAGAGAGACTCCTCCACAAAGGAATACTGACACACGACTGTGAATTTTCCTTCCACACGACCCTAGAAAACACCTGAATCTCCACCCAACATGGTAACTGTGGCACCTCCACGGCCCAGAATCCCTTCCAGTCTTTAGTCTTTCCTCTATGTCTTGTCCTGGCCTTGAACTATGGGTAAAGGGCAGAATGAAAACTCTCTTGCTAAGTGAATATCCCTGTATGCCCTCTACATGACAAGTCTCCACAATGTCACTCTCAGCTTTTTTGCTCAAGGCTGGCACTCTCTTGGAGTCTAATCTCCACTTCCAGCTGTTTGCTGGTTAATTGGCGATGTTAGTTTTATGAAATTTCCTGCCCAGGCTGGCTTTGAGCTGTGATCCTCAAATCTCTGCCTCCTGAGTAGCTAGGATTAGACATGAGCCACCAATTCGCTGGCCACAAAGTCTTTTGGAAAGACAGCCAGACCAGTTATTTCCTCCATGCCACCTCTTGAGTATTCACCTTGACATCCCTCCCACTGTCATGGCAAATACTTCCCTTGGATCCAGGCAGGAATGGAGGACATCTCCATCCCCCTACGATTAGTCATGGTGCTCTCACTTTGCAGAGGTGGTCATGTCATTCACATCCACCTTGCTCCGAGGCCACTTCCTCTTGACATGCAGCTGCACTTCTGTGAGGATGTCCTCTCCCCCGAATGGGGACACATAGAGGCACCTCATGACGAGATCTACTGACACCCCAGGTGTGGCTGTCCAGCTGTGTCATCCATGTAAACCATTAGCTGCCCTACCCCCTCGCTGACAGGTGGCTCCTGGCTTTCTAGTTCCTTACCTGGGGCCCTGATATCAGGGAACAGACAATCCGTTCCTGCTGTGTCCTGGCCCAGAAAGCTGATGATCATAATCAACTTACTATCAAACATAATTCAATTTTAGTTTATTAAGCAGCCTTATGATAGGAAAATGGATTTAAGCCCATTCACATTTCCTAATTTCAAGATGTCATCTAGAGAGCTATGAAACACCATGCTTAGACTTTGATTTAGAACCATGCTCTTTAAAACACCCACTGTGTATGCACTAAAATGAATCCTAATGATAAAGACGATGTTTGTTTAATGTATTTTCCTTGAGCATCTCACTAGGGTGTCAAAGAAAATGCACAGTACTCTGGGAGTGAAGCAGCTTCCTGAGGGTACTGTGGGGGTTGGCTCACTTCCAAGTGACTGGCACCCACAGGACAGATAGGGGTACCCCAGTAAGAAACCTAACACAAAAGTATGTTAGAAGTAAAGCTGTCTGAGAGGAAACCTCACCACCAGCTCTTGCTGCCATTACCAAGACGGAAGGGAAGGAGAGAAGGAGGGGAGGAGATAGTGGGAATTTGTAATCCTAGCTACTCAGGAGGCTGAGCTCGGAGGTTCTGATGCCAGAGCTTGGGCAGAAAAGGCTGAGACCCTTATCTCCAATTAACCACCACAAAACCTGAAGTTGAGCTGTGGCTCAAGTGTTAAGAGCTTAGTCTTGAGCAAAAAAACCCAGACCATGCCCAGGCCCTGAGTTCAAGCCCTACCCTAGTACAAAAAATTATTATTAGGGAAGTGGAGGCATGAAGCAGGAAGATTATGAGTCCCAGGTCAGCCTGTGTCATTTAGCAGCTCTGAGCAAATAAAAGGGAAAAAAGCTGGTGTCAATGGCTCATGCCTATAATCTTAGCTACTAAGGAGGATGAAACCTAGAAGATCAGGACTCAAAGCCCTGCAAAGTAAAAACAAGACTCCTCCAATTAGCCAGCACAATACTAGATTGGAGCTATGGCTCAATTACTCAAGAAAGCTGAGAGCACAAAGCCCTTAATTCCAACTCTAGAAGTGGCGCACCCTCACCCTGTGTGCATGCATGCACACACAAATTCTGCACATGTGCAGATGTTGAAAGTTTTATGCAGGGCTGGGAAGGTGGCTCAGTGGTAGAGCGCTTGCCTTGCATGCATGAGGCCCTGGGTTCGATTCCTCAGCACCACATAAGCAAAAAGAAAAAAGCCAAAAATGGCACTGTGGCTCAACTAGTGCTAGCCTTGAGCTGAAGAGCTGAGGGACAGCGCCCAGGCCCAGAGTTCAGGCTCCACGACCGGACCCCCCCCCCCAAAAAAAAGAAAGTTTTATGCAAAGTTCCACCTGAGATACCTAACAATCAAATTCATAAGCAGCTAACACAAGGTAGAATGCAAGCTATCCTAGGACTATGGTGTTGGTGGCAATGAGAAGTTACTATTTACTGTGTCTAGTCCTTGTTGGGATGAAAAAAGCTCTTGGAATGAATGGATCATGGCTGACAGATGCAAACACGGTATATGTCCTAAATGTCATTTCACTGGATATTAAAATGGCAAAATAGTTAAAATGGCAAAATAGAATAGAAATAAATAGAACAGAATAGAAAAAAACCTCAACAGTGACAGCTAGTTCCAAGGCCTTGGCACTGGAGCTGTAACTGGACCTGACTCTTGCCAGCTGAGGGACTCTGGGAAAACTGCTTGACTTATGAAGAGCTACAGAATCTTCTATGGTTAAAACGAGGACACCACTACTTCAGAGGTGCTGCTGTTTAAATTAGCACCAAAAGAAGCAGGAGACACAGAGGCTGTCACTCAGAAAATGATATAGCAGCCCTGGAGACGCTCAGTGATAAAACATCACAGAAAACAGGGATAAAAAGAGGTATGGACTCGGGTAATGAACTTGGGGGCAGTCTTGGCTTTTCAACAGTTCATGACAAACTTCTCAGTATACGTGGTTTCATTTACTAAAAATTCACCATGAAGTATGATGGACTCATCTCCACTGGCAGATTGGCTCACTTGGTGCTGTTTATTCTGAGAACACACTTCAGAGATGTGAATAAACAAGAGCGCCTTCAGAACAGGCTTTCAAGAGTAATGTAGTCTTTGAGTGTTACAGACTAACATAAACATCAGTACTGAGAATAGGGGGCTTGCTGGAGAAGGAAGGGTGGTCTACAGGTAATGGTGACATGAGTAACTCCAAGTTAAAAACTGGCTTCCAGGCAACTAGGGGCACATTTTACTAGAGCAATTAGTATACTGCATCCTGTAAGATATTAACTGCCCCATAGTGGATGGTGCTAAATGTAAACATCAAACCTCGGGTGATTTCAAAAGGTATGCTCCTTGTCAGTCTTTTTTTTTTTTTTTTTTTTGTCGTCGGTCATGGGGCTTGAACTCTGGGCCTGGGCGCTGTCCCTCAGCTCTTCAGCTCAAGGCGAGCGCTCTACCACTTGAGCTACAGCGCCACTTCCGGTTTTCTGGTGGTTTATTGGAGATAGGAGTCTCACGGTCCCCGGGCTGGCTTTGAACCGCGATCCTCAGATCTCAGCCTCCTAAGTAGCTAGGATTACAGGCGTGAGCCACCAGCGCCCAGCTTCCTTGTCAGTCTTGAGTTGGCTGAAGTGGCTGAGTGGAGGAAATCAGGTCACTTGGGGATGTGTGCCTTTGACACACATCCAGTGTGTCACACATCCAGGACACAGGAATCCTTCATGTTTCCTGGCTGCCATCTGGTGAACAGCTCCTCTGCTCTTAGAGCTCCTCCTCTAAAAGCTCCACTGTTGGCCTGCTGTGTTGCCTCTCCATAGGTCTAAAAGGAATGGAGCCAAGAGAACACAGACTGTAACTCTGAAAACATAGCCCCAAAGAAATTATTTCCTCTTTTTTTGTTGTTTGTCATGGGTTTTGAACTCTGGGCCTGGGCGCTGTCCCTCAGCTCTTCAGCTCAAGGCTAGTGATCTACCACTTGAGTCACTGCGCCACTTCCAGTTTTCTGAGTGGTTTAATGGAGATAAGAGTCTCACAGCCTTTCCTGCCTGGGCTGGCTTTGAACTGGCTTTGAACTGCGATCCTCAGATCTCAGCCTCCTGAGTAGCAGGATTATAGGCGTGAGCCACAGGCGCTCAGCTTATTTCCTCTTTTTTGTGCTAATTAAATGCAGACACATAAAGAACATTGTCTTACACACATATGATGTTGTTCTATAGTAAAATCTCTGCATATTCAAATAATTTAGCCAGAAGCTGGTGTCTCACACCTGTAACCTGAGCTACTCAGGAGGCTAAGGTCTGAGGATCCTGGCCTAAAGTCAGCCAGGCAGAAAAGTGAATGAAACTCTTATCTCCAATTAACTACCAAGAAGTGGAAGAAGTAGAGTGTAGAGTTTTGGCATAGTAGCTTTGAGAAGAAGCAAAAAGAAAGAAAAAAGTTAGGAAGAAGGGAGAAGAAGAAAGCTCAGGGGTAGCACCCGGGACAAGCACAAAAAGAAAAAAGAATAATGCATACAAAAATGTAGCAACACAATAGTTAAAATCTATACTTCTAATTTGCAAATGTTTTAAGCAAAAAGGTGAAAAAAATACATAAAGCACACAAGCACAAATAAACCAACTTTAATAGATATTATTTCGTATTTATATAGCGCCTTCTTCAAGAATCTTAAATGCTTTACAGACATTACCTCTAATTGATCCCCACAACAACCCTGTGAGGTAGGTATTACTCCCATTTTACAAGACAGGGAGACTGAAGCACAGAGAGGTTAAGTGACTTGCCCAAGGTCACACAGTTAAGTTCACTGAAGAGCCAGGACTCAAGCGCCTTAGCCTCCCAGCTCCCAGCCAAATACCTCATGAGAGAATCTTCAATGAAAAGTATCTTTAAAGAAAGTGTCAAGAGTAGTATGTTATGAAAATGAAGCCTTTCTGCCACCAAGGAAAGAAAAAAAAACAAAACCCTATACTGATGGTTGAGGCCACAAGACCCATAGAGAACATTTCCTTTCTTCCCTTTCCTAAAGCCTCCTGACCCCTGTCAAATAATCTACAGGTAAAATTTCCAAGACAGAAGCCATGTGACTTAGAAGCAGGACATAATTATTTTTAGAATATTTACTTTTAGTTAACGATAATTCATAGAAACTCTTATTCCAATATACAAAATATGGGACCGCTATCCCAACAAACATGTACATAGTTATACAGCAATCAGCCTCATTTACAACCTGAACCTGCCACTCACTTGATCACAGCCCAACCCAGGGAATGCTCTCTGTGTGGGCCACTGATCTTACTTACTATATACCTGTATATTCCCACCCCACCCCCCCTAACCCCAACCCTGTATGTTTTAAAACTATACTGAGTTTCTGATAAAATTCAAAGTGTTTTACTTAGATCCACCATCACTAAGAGTAAAAAGTCAATTTAAAACCATCACCCCATTGTCCCCTCCCCTGATGAGTCTTACTGTGAAACAGTGTGGGCGAGCACAGGGCAAACACCATGGAACTCCATACCAATGCTAGGTAGAACCTGCCCCAATATGACATCTAACTTGGTCTTTTCTGAATGATTTTTTAAAATGCAAAAATGTACAAATAAACACAACACAGTATTTCTATCCTGTACCTTTATGCCAATGACTTCATCTATGTTTCTTACACATGTCACAGCCTGACTCTGCCTCTCTTTACCTTTTTGCTCTGCATGTACAGCTGCAGGGACACAGCTCGAAACTATGAGACATCTGCTTCAGGCCAAGCAAGTCACTGCCCCCACTCCCCACGTTCTTGGTTGTGATTCTCTTGTTATGAGTCAATGCTGCTGGGAGATCAGGCAAGCCGTGTATGATTTGTACAAAACAACTCCAGCCAGGGCGAGGCTTAAGAACTCTCTTTTAAGAAGAAATTGGTTGAAATATCATAATTTTCTCCCAGGACATCTGGCTAAGCAGCCCAATGAGCTAGTGACCCTGTTAAAGATCTGGTTATAGAACAAATAGGTGAAGTCATTTCCTGAGCTAAAAGATACAGATAATAAATGTTAATAATAGCAGCACAAAAAACACATTCTTTTTGTTTTCCATAGTACGTAGTTTTAGCAAAATACCTTTAGAGAATTAACAAAAAAAGAATTACTGCAAAAAGTCTGATAGGATACCTGATTGCTACTTTTTAAAAAATGATTTTTCAGTTACTTTCTATGAGTTACACTTGGCCACAGTCAGACCACTTTACTGGTGCACAAGAAAATGTCAACTACAATGCTTTACATGTGTCTCTCATTACATATATTATTTCTTCAAATCCTCAACAAAATAAAGTCCTAAACATGAATTGCAATTTCTCAACACCCTTCTGTTTTGGATGTCTGGTCTACTTCATCAAAATGTTATCTTCAAAAGGCTTTTAGCTACTACCTGGGCTGTAAGGGTTATGATGTATACATGACTTCTTTTCCAAGGTAAAATGTAAAGACATTTGAAATAATATAACTGCAATGACATTAATTTTCCAAGCATGGTTCAACTTGAACATTAGAGTACTTAAGAATTCTAAAGATGGTATGCTACCACTGTACCAGAATTTCTTTTATCATTCCAACAATTACAGGGAATTTTAATTTTTTTTCATTTTACTGAAATTAAAGCTGAATAAAAATATCTGAATTTTTAAACTATGATATGACAAAAGAAATACTACTTAGCCAGAGATATCAGTTCCTCCTGAAAAAACAATATTTACCTCCTCTCATTGCAATTTTTTTCATGGTTATCTTAGTGATTTCAGATAGAATTAAAAATCTACCTTAAAAAGAGAAACAAAACAAAAGGACCACTTAAGCCAACGAAACTACTAAAAATATGCTAAAATTTACTGACAAAATCATGGGCACTTCATACAATACTTAGACTCTACCAGTTTTAAGTAAAATAAATAAGGAAAAAATTATAATTACAAAGCCAGTCTTTCCCCTTGGGGAAACAAAAAGCCACTTTTGACCAATTGTTCCCTACATATACATATACTGTATATTATTATAAGCTTCTTCAGAGAAGCAAAACATATTTGTCTTCCTGACACTGGATTCTAGTATTTGTTAGTTGTGTGTGTGTGTGTGTGTTTTAAAACATCAGGAAGGCAACTGTAAGTGTTGGGCCCAAAAGTACTTCTGGTTTATGCTTGAAAAGACCACTGAATATGCCTTTATACATACTGAACACGGGCAACATATATGCAGTGTGTTCGGCATCATCTCCTTCCATTGTCAATCAACTAGCACAGATTCCAATTCGTTTTACTGCCCTCCCAAGGAATTCAAATCATTATTGGTGCAATTAATAAAGAGAAAATGCGTGCCAATAACAAGAGGAGCTGGTATCTGATTTCATTTCCTTGAATGGAACTGCACAGACAGCATGATACCTGAGCAAATAAATCAACTACCATGATAGGAAGGGCTCCTTAATCCATAGTCTTTGCTTTATTGTGTGCAAAGTGTGCTACTGCCCCCTGAGCTTCCTGCATGTCTCTTTTCACGAGAAATCAGTGCTTGATCCTTTCCATAATAACCAGAGAAGAAATGAGGCAGGAAGTATCTCTTCATCACGGTTCTCCCTCAGTCCCGAGACTGATAGAAAAGGATGTAACCAGACTCAGAGTTCTTTGAGATATCTGATGTCAACCCGTAGAATTCTTCAATAGCTTGTGCATCTATTTTCTGTGGGGCAAAATTTAAATATTAGTACACTATCAAGCTCTGGTCATCAAAATGACTTAAACAGATTGACAATATCAGGTACTGGCAAGCATGAAACAAACAATTTCCTACATGGTTGATGGGAATGTGAATGGTATAGTTACTTTGGAAAAATGATGAACAACACTTCCAAAGCCAAGTGTACAACCCCCCTTGATCCAGCAATCCTACCTAGAGGTGTAGGTTGAACCATATGAAACATACTGTCAATTATTTGAACCTGCAAGAAGGACTATTTCCAGTGGTCTAACCTAATGTACATTCAAGAAAAGTGAGGGCATATATCCAACGAAAGACTTGCACAATGATAATTAAGCATTTTTGCTTATTAGAGTAAAGATACTGACAAAACCCAAATTCTCACTATTTAATTTTATTAAACAGAAAATTACAAAGCAATGAAAAAGAACTACTGCAACTATTACTGGCAACAATGGGAATAAATCATATATTGTACTAATGAGTAAAAATGCACCAATGAGTCACATACAAAAGGCAACTGTATGAGTCTATTTATAATCAAACACAGACAAAATTTCTCATAGTGCTAAAAAAAAGTCAAAATAGCAGGTTTCAAGAGATGGAGTGCTAACCAAGGAAGAGGAGGGAGGGAGGCCACTTGAATACTGAAGACACCTGGCTGATTATAAGTGTGTGTGTGTGTTTTGTGGGGATGCACACATGTACACATGAATACTCATGTAATTAAAATCTCAAGTTCTGAACAAGACTTCTATACCAAAGGTATACTTAACAGCTCAGCTTTTTAAAATGAGGAAGGCCTTTAAACAACAATAATTGTTTTCTTGAAAGTTTTCCCTTGTTTCTTTCCTCCAGGTTTGTGAAGAAAAAGCAGAAATCTGATTATAATCTAAAGACCCCCTCAGACATATCAAATACTTACCATTAGTCATATATGAATGAGAAAAAAAAGAAAAACATTTTTAAAAAATGAAGTCATATAACAGTGAACACAAAAGGGCAAATAGACACACAGCTTTAGCAAAATTAAGAAACCACTTACTTCTACAATGTCATCATCGAACAACAACCAAAAATCATGACTCTTAACTATTGCGATATAATGGCCACGATTGGGACCACTGAAACAAAAGAAGAAAAAGTACAGTTAATACTGTATTTTTAAATACATCACTTTCATGCTTTAAATTCCATCTTCTATTATAACATAAAAAAATATCCCTTACCTGGCATTCCCCCCAGAAGTTAAAACTACTCTAATTTGAATGGCACTCAATTTTAATATCAAATAATCAGTACACATTCCCAAAGTTAAGGGGAAAGAAAAGAACACAGCTTTAAAAGGAGGAAATTCCAGGCAGTCAGTAAAAGCTGTATGCTCCCACTACACGTTTTCATTACACGATGGTTTTATTGTCTGAATTTACTTTACAAATTTACATACACACATATACATATCCTGGCCAGGTGCCAGTGGCTCACACCTGTAATCCTGACTATTCAGGAAGCTGACACCTGAGGATTGAAGTTCAAAGTTAACCCAGGGCAAGAAAGTCTGTGAGATTCTCATCTCCAATTAACTATCTATAAAAGCCAAAAGTGGAGCTGTGTCTCAAGTGGTAGAGCGCTAGCCTTAACCAAAAAAGCTAAGGGATAAGTACCCAGGCCTTGAGTTCAAGCTCCAGGACTGGCACCCCAATAATAATAATAATAATAATTATAGTAAAAGGATACATTCCCTGGTATAGTGGCATAGGCCTATAGTTTTAAATACTTGAGAGGTCAAGGCAGGAAGATTATGAGCTACAAAGTGAGTTCCAGACCAGCCTGGTTACATGGTTTTTGAAGCCTAGTTTCAAAAACAAACCAATTTTTAAAAAAAAGCTCTCTATTGGAATCACTCATGAGCACACTGTACACTACTCTGAATATTCACTAGGATGTCCCTGGTGCCACAATTACCTTCCACAGTGAACCACAACAGCAACAAGGTCATACATTCTGTCAGGATTGGTTGCATCTCCAGAAGTGTTAAATAGACGGAGTTCTAAAGGAAAAACTACCCGGTATGAAAGTTTCGTATATCGATGAAGTTGATCCATGTACTTAAATCTCTTCAGGTGGAGAGCTAGAATCATGGGCAGTTTCTTAACTTTCATCCTATTAAAAATAAAGATGAAAACAAAATTTCATCCACTGTGTCCGTCAAAGAACGATTTATCTTAAGATAGCCAATAAACAGCTAATTAATGGTCAGCTTTTTTAAAAAATAGCCCGGCACTGCCCAGTTTTGCATATTTCTCATCTGCATTGCTCTATTATTTTTATAAGGGCAAAACAACATATAAAATCTAATATAAACATATTAAATCTACCACCTCACCACCAAGTCATATAATCTGACACAGAACTCAATAGGGCTCTCCAAAACAGATGAATGGCACCAGGCCTTTGTCAAATGTTCTGCAAACACAGATCCCCTTTTCTAATAGGACCAAAGAGATGTGATAATCACAAAGTAGTGGAAGAAAAAAATGGGTTCCTTAAATAAGCAGCCAATTCCTCTGGAAGTCAAAAAATGGAGACTGAGCCGGGCGCCAGTGGCTTATGCCTGTAATCCTAACTACTCAGGAGGCTGAGATCTGAGGATTGCAGTTCAAAGCCAGCCTGGACAGGAAAGTCTGTGAAACTCTTATCTCCAATTAACCACCAGAAAACTGGAAGTAGTGCTGTGGCTCAAGTGATAAAGCACTAGTCTTGAGCTGAAGAGCTGAGGGACAGCATCCAGGCCCCACAACAACAACAAAAAAGACAAACACATTTGCTTTACCAACCTGTATAGCACAAGGGCAGATTAACAATGGAGGACTGAAAGAAGTATCAAAGACCATTCAGCTAAGGTTGTTTGCCAGGGATAACAAATATGAATGGAGGCTCAAAAACGAACAAAGTATTTTGGAAATTTAGGAGTTTGGTTTTTACCTGTGAAACATGGGCTGCCCTTTATATTCTAATAATCTTTCTTTTTTAAAAATTTTATTTATTTACTTATTTTGTTGGTTGTGGGGCCTGAATTCTGGGTGCTGTCCCTCAGCTCTTCAGCTCAAGGCTAGCACTCTACCATTTGAGCCACAGTGCCACTTTGGGCATTTTCTGCTTATGTGGTACTGAGGAATTGAACACCCAGGGCCTCATGCATGCGAGGCAAGCACTCTACCACTGAGCCGCCATCCCAGCCCTCTAGTAATCTTTCCTAAGACTCTTGCTTCCATTATGGGCTTGTTCTACCATAAGGGCTGGGGAATCATGTACATCATTTCACAAACTCACTTCATAATATGTCAAGGTTCTACGGTGTGTACACACACAAAAAACAAAATGTCAGATGATGTTTTCTTCATTTATAATTTGAACTACTGACAAATACAAATGCTCTTCTTTGTTTTTATTCCTCTACAGGCATTCTGCCTGGTGCATGATACATGCCAAATGCTGCAAAACTGAATTGAATGTAGGTTCAATGGAGCAAAACTTTCCATAATTGTGGGGGGGGGGGGTGGAAAGAAGGAAGTCATTGCCTCTAATGATAGGGAAAAACACTTCAATAGTAATATATTAAATCTCCGTTCTTATTCATTTTAATGGGCTGCTTAATATTCTTGAAATGCTTATCATGCAACTAATCTGGGCTTTGACAAAGCGTAGTCAAAACAGAAGTAAACATTCAATCCTTGAAGCAATCTAACAATATAAATTGACAGTCCTAATGGTCTGTTTTAGTAATTCCATTTCTTGAATATCAATTAAATATAACATTTCAAATATAGCAAGAGAGAAACCTACTTCTAGAATTACTTTATGTAGTGAAGACTCCTTACTAGTCAAATAGAAAATGTTTAAATAAATTATAAAACAAACTTCGGATAATACTGATTAAAGTTTCTAGTTAGTATATTTAAGTTAAAGGAAGTATGGATATAAAAATATAATAATCCATCATATCAGTGACTAAACTGACACAGAGTTGCTACAATATACTCTTTAAAGAACAACCAAGTATCCTTTTGAAAACTCTCAATGGAGTGTGAACAATACTGATGGTAAAATGATTGTCCTGATATTATCTAAATGATAATGCAAGAAATATGATGTTTGATCAGCAACACATGAAGACAAGGAAGACTACTTTGCTGAGATCCTCCTTAGAGGTAAACACTCATCTACCACAGAGAAATCAAACACTCATGGGCATAAACATGAGATTGTCAAACACATTTTGTTTTGTTTTTTGGTTCGGTCGTGAGGCCTGAACTCTAGGCCTGGGCACTGTCCCTCAGCTCTTCAGCTCAAGGCTAGCGCTCTACTACTTGACCCACAGCGCCACTTCCGGCTTTTTTCTTTTTGCTTATATGATGCTGAGGAATGGAACCCAGGGCCTTATGCATGCAAGGCAAGCACTCTACCACTGAGCCACCTTCCCAGCCCCTGTCAAACACATATTTTAAACGTATATTTTAAAGATATATGAGACTAGCTCATAACAAAATGCTCTGGCACAGGGAGAAAAAAAATGTTTAGATGACTTTATAAAGATGCATGCCAAGAATGTGAAATTAATTATTTTGTAGCAGGAGAAAGTGAGAGAGAGGTTATTTTCAGCTCATACCTACAGTCCGACTGCTCAAGAGGTAGAGTTCTGACAACTGCATCTCAAAGCTAGTCCAGGCTTCTGTGAGATTCTTACCTCCAATTAGCCAGGAAAAAAAGAAAGCCAGAAGTGAACTGTGAGCCAACTGGCTGAGTGCCCGCCGTAAGGGAAAAAAGAGAGCTAAGTTCAAGCCCCAGCACAGGCCACACAAAAAAATGTAATTTTCTGCTCAAAACGCCCAATTCCACAGTACAACAAGGATTGTATAGGCTTCTTGTTTTCCTTCCATTCAAACTTTGTGTGGAGGTAAGCTGTATCACTGTCATTTTTTGTAAAAAGTTGTTTTAAAATGAGCTAATTATGCATGCATCAGGCCCTGGGTTCCATTCCCAAGACCACAAAACAAAACAAAAAGACATTGCAGTTTCAATTAAATATTTATTTAAAAAAATCTTCTTTAAACTGTCTTATAATTTTTATAAACTGTCTTATAATTTTTAGGGGGAAGGCTGGTGTCTGGGTTTGAACTTAGGACCTAGTGCCTATTTAGCCTGCTTTCTCAAGAAGCACTCTATCCTTGACCCCCTACCTCCTCCAGTCCAGCTTTCTTGCAGATGACAATTTCCTGGAGGAAGTTGAGCTGTGGCTCAAGTAAAAAAGCTAAGGAACAGCACCCAGAGCCTGATTTCAAGCCTCTGTTCGTTCTCCGCCCCCCCCCATCTTTCCTGGAATTTCTGCCTAGGCTGGCTTTGAACCCTAATTCTAGATCTCAGCCTCCCGAGTAACTAGGATTACAGGTATAAGCCACCAGCATGCAGTTCAGAAAACATTTTTAAACTAAGTTTTCCTTTTTTTTTTTGCAGAGCTGAGGACTGAACTCAGGGCCTTGCACTTGCCAGGCAAGTGCTCATCCACTGAACTAAATCTCCAACTCCAATTCCTATTCTTTAAAAAATAAACTATGCTAAGCAAAGTGGATACTAGCTTGCAAGCTCTGGAACAATGCACTGAATATTCATAAGCACATAGGAACTTATTAGCATCCTTAGCAGTCCTAATCACCCAGACATACAATTTTCTAAGGACTGAATCCATGTTCTTCTTTTTTCTTTTTCTTCTGCCAGTCCTGGAGCTTGAACTCAGGGCCTGGGCACTGTCTCTGGGCTTCTTTTGCTCAAGGCCAGCATTCTACCACTTGACCCACAGCTCCACTTCCAGCTTTTTCTGTTTATGTGGTACTGAGGAATCGAACCCAGAGAGCTTCATGAGCACTCTACCTCTAAGCCACATTCCCAGGGTTCATGTTCTTTTGAACCAAGATGTCCAATAGATTAATTGTAGCACACATAAAATGGGCCTGCTACAACTGTGTGGGAAGGCCATGAAGGTGACTGAGTAGGATGTAAGCAAGAAGATTAGAGAACTCCATCTCCAGCATATGTCAAAACAATCAAGCATGGTGGCTCACACTTGTAATTCTAGCTGTTTGAGAGATGGACATCAGGAAGATAGTGGATTCATGGTCAGCCCAGGGGAAAAGTTTGTGAGACACCCCCATGACAACCAATAGCTGGCTAGAGTGGCATGTTCTTGCTACACAAGTTCAATATCAGAGAGATAGTAATTCCAGGCCAGCCCAAGCAAAGAAAAAAAACAAAAAACAAAAGACCCACACCCTGTGGGGGTGAGGGGGGAGAGAATGGGAAGGGATGGGAGGGGGAAACAAAGGAGGTGGCTACAATGCTTGATAAGAAATGTACTCATTATCTTGCCTATGTAATTGTAACTCCTCTGTACAGTATTTTCACAATTAAAAAAAAAAAAAGACCCACACCCTCAACAAAAACAAGGCTGAGTGCATGTCTCTGTCATCCCAGTTATAGTAGAAAATGTAAATGGGAAATTATGATACAGGTTGGCCTATGCAAAAAGTGAGAGCTATTTAAAAATAATACCCAGAGCAAAAAGGGCTAAAGATACCTCCTTGTGCACAAACTTAACAGTACACTTTATGCTGAACACCTGGTTTCTTTCCAGAAGCCTGGGATTTGGTGTAGGCTATTCAGAGGGTACCTCTGTGATTGGGCACTGAGTTTATATTGTCACTTTCCATGATGCCACTATACTACAGGAATTAAGTATCTGTGTGACTTTGCTGGAAGAGTCAACTCTTGGAAGTTTGCCTTGATTTGGGCTTGCTGACTGTGCTGTTTCTTTTCCTTGTAATAACTCTTAGTTGTGTGCCTGGCTGCAGACTACCAGTCCTTCTAGGAAATCACTGAACCAGACATGCTCAAACACACTGGCACATGATTATGTGCTACTTAACAGGAGACCACAGCACCACTTCTGAAAGAAGCATTTCTTTCTTTTTTTTTTTTGAGTCCGGTCGTGGGCCTGAACTCTGGGCCTGGGCGCTATCCCTCAGCTCTTCAGCTCAAGGCTAGCACTCTACCACTTGAGCCACAGCACCACTTCCGGCTTTTTTCTTTTTGCTTATGTGGTCCTGAGGAATCGAACCCAGAGCCTTATGCATGCAAGGCAAGCACTCTACCACTGAGCCACCTTCCCAGCCCCTGCAAGAAGCATTTCTGAGTCTAGTCATAAGAAAATATAAAACAAACTCAAGTAACAGAATCACTAAAGTGAGATTTTCCCTAGTTATGATCAGTAAAGTCAAGGAAAGACTGAGGAACTCTTCCAAATTTACAAGACATAAACACTAAATGTGACATGGATGTGTTTCTGGACTGGGCCTTGCTCCTAAAAAGGAACTGATGAGACTGTTTTGTGATAGGAGAATGAGATCCAAGGGAACAGCGGCATGTCACCATCACTGTCCTTACTTGGATGGACACAGGAACAGGAAAACTTCCTTGTTGAAAAGAAACACTGACTAGCCGGGCGCTGGTGGCTCACGCCTGTAATCCTAGCTACTCAGGAGGCTGAGATCTGAGGATCACGGTTCAAAGTCATCCCAGGCAGGAAAGACCGTGAGACTCCTATCTCTAATAAACCACCAGAAAACCGGAAGTGGCGCTGTAGCTCAAGTGGTAGAGCACTCGCCTTGAGCTGAAGAGCTGAGGGACAGCACCCAGGCCCAGAGTTCAAGCCCCACGACCAACAAAAAAAAAAAAAAAACACTGACTAACATTTCTAGGGATGGGTTATCATATTAAAAATGTACTTTCAAAATGGTCAAAGGTAAAAGAGCATTCCTGACGATGTTCACAAAACTTTTCTCTGAGTTTGAGACTGTTGCAAAACAAAAAGTAACACAATGATGATAGTTAGTAGGTAGTGGTGATTTCATTTCTTGACACCCAAGCCAGTCTTTACAACATAGAAGGACACATGATAATTTCCTATGTAAGAACAGCAGGGACTGGGATAGGATAAAGGACCCTTTTTCACTTACTCCTCCCCTCACTAACAAAGAAAAGTCTCTAAGTCACTAGGAAAGATTTAAATAAAGCCAAACATTTCATCTGTACTCATTTATGATGATTACGTGATCTGCAGAAAAATCATCTCAGGGTACAGAGTTGTTTTATTTATTTATTTATTTTTAAATAAAAAGCACTGGGTAATGCTGCTACTTAACAAGCCTCAACTTTGTTGGTGATGAAACTAGAAAGTGTTACTCGGTGTAAAATTTCACAGATCATGTTCAGCTAGAAAAGCCTATCTCTTACCTCCATGACTAAAGACACTCTAACAAATTCTGAAGGGTTACTAACTCACCGTTTGTGTGCTTCCTGCTTGCTGCGACACTCTTCACAGTAATATTTATATTCACTGCAGAGTGTTTCTGTGTTGCTAAAACCTCTGTGCAAAATTCAAAACACAATTATTATGTATTACCAGAAAAATCATGTATTCATTTAAAATATTCAAAGTCAAAGGTAATCATTAAGTTTCAAGGCAGATAATGTTGCATACCTTAAACAGTGAGTAATTGATGTGTTTTGTTCCACATCAACAGAAAGATCTAAAAAATCTTCATCTTTGCTGCTTATCTGTAAAAATAAGAGAATTATATTTAATTTCTGTAAATATTAGAAACATGGTTTACAGATGTCAGAATTAAATGCATTCTATCAGTAATACACAAGCAACTATTCTTCCTCAAGAGCAAAAGTTTGACTTGATTACCTAAAAGGACATTGAATAGATGTTCATAATACAAATATAAGACACCAATGTAAACATCTGACTGTTTCACTGGTAAAGGTAGTATTATACAAGAACTTGTACATAAACTAAGGCTGAACTTGAATGAGAAGGCTTGACAAAGGACCTCATACCTGTTTTACCACTTAGGAAAATAGTTCCCTGGGGACCACCAAGAGGCAGCTGAGCTAATGAGAGTGAAAGAGGATGGATATTGTCAAAATAAATTGTTGACCTCACAAAAATAGAACAATTCAACCTCCTGAAATTGCATTAGGAAGGGGGGAAGGATGAGGGAGAGTGATAGAGCATAGGTTGGAATACACTGCATACATGTATGGAAATACCACAATAAAATCTCCCTCTTGGCCAGCTAATGGATGATAATTAAAAAAAAACAATAATTTAGCCCCAAATGCCAAATTAATATCTTTATAACCTACCTATATCTCTCCTAAAGCATCTAATATAAACTTTTCATTTACAAGAAAATCTTATTTTGGGCTGGGAAGATGGCTCAGTGGTGGAGTGCTTGCCTTGTATGCATGAGACCCTGGGTTCGATTCCTCAGCACCACATAAGCAAAAAAGAAAAAAAAGCCAGAAGTGGCATTGTGGCTCAAGTGGTAGAGCGCCAGCCTTGAGCTGAGGAGCTGAGGGACAGCGCCCAGGCCTAGAGTCCAGGCCCCATGATCGGACACAGAAAAAAAATAAAACAAGTAAATCTTATTTTTAAAAAGTAGTTATTACTTGCTTATTTGAACTGCAATAGGACAGAACTTGAGGCAGAAATCTCCCTAGCTGTTTAGTGGTCTGTTCCCAGGGTGAGTATGCAACAGGAGACATGACATGCATGACTTGTTCCCCTGTGCCTCTCAGCACACTGACTACACAGTTCATAAATGCTGTTCTGTTTCAATATTGCATCACTTATAAGCTCAGCACCACAAAGCAGTGACAGATTATAAGGTTGTACACATCTAGACAAGTAAGAATAAACAGGAATACTGTACAGACTGTATATTACAGACAAATGAAGGGGTTTTGAGTGACTGACAGCTTCATTTCTACATTAACTTAGTTCTAACTTCGAACAGAAACTCTCACAAAGGTGAGGTTCCACCACAATACCATCTGGGTCCCAAAAATTCCAGTGAAAAAGATGGAGAAAGAAAACAATTTGGAGACAGTTAAGAGATTATGATATATTTAAAGAAAACATAATTAGCACAAGTTAGCAGGGAATTTGATAGGGTGACAAGGATCATTAGGGCAGAGGTAGCTACAATCAGATCAGAGTGACTTACGTGTAGGATAAATAGAAGAAAAAATGGCCTGCTGGGTCAAGCATGATGGCTCATGCCTATAATTCTAGCTTTCAGAAGAGGCTGAGCTAGTAGAGTGATCTTGTCTCAAAACAAAACAAAAGGGCCAGGGGCTATTTTTTTTTTTTTTTTTAGCTATTCCGGAGGCTAAGATCTGAAGATCATGGTTCAAAGACATCCCAGGCAGGAAAGTCTTTTATAAGACTCTTAGCTCCAATTAACCACCAGAAAACTGGAAGTGGTAGAGTAGCTGTAAGCAGCTGCCTGAGTTGCTGTTTGAATTTATACTTGTGTGGTATCAGGTAATCACAAAGTAAAGCAAGGTTTCACTTTAAAAAGTGGTTGTGAGGGCTGGGAAGGTGACTCAGTGGTAGCGCACTTGCCTTGCATGCATGAGGCCCTGGGTTCGATTTCTCAGCACCACATAAGCAGGAAAAAAAAAAAAGCTGGAAGTGGTGCAGTAGCTCAAGTGGTAGATTGCTAGTCTTGAGCTGAAGAGCTCAGGGGCAGCACCCAGGCCAGAGTTCAGGCCCCACAACCAGACCCAAAAACAAAACAAAACAAAGTGGTTGTGATAGAAATGGAGGTGGCTCAAGCAGTAGAGCACTAGGTTGGAACAAATGAAACTTAGGGACAGCACTCAGGCTCTGAGTTCAAGTCCCAGGACCAAGACACACACAAAGTGGTTTTGAACATGTCTGATTGCCATTGGGCTAATAATAAATATCCTCCTGTCACATCATACCCAGTTTATCAGAAGCCAAGTCTAAAACTCAGGAAGACATCTAAACTGGATACAGACTTGGATTCATCAGTACATGTGACAATAAAAATGGAACACAATCCTCCTGATGAATAATGATGCAACACATACAATGAGACCCCAGTGAACACCACAACTAAAAAATGGAAAAAGGAAACTGAAAGAATGAGACTGAAAAGGAACTCTGGAAGGAACCTTCAGAGAATAGAGATCAGTACAAGAGTGGGTTGCAGAAACAAGATTCCTCAAATACAAGCTCTAGATTTCTAGGAAGCCCACCTCTCACCTTCCCAGCACTCCCATTCCCAGCTGACTTGTGTGACATTACTGTGTTGGGACTATTGGTTGGCAGTCTTTACTACCCAGTCAGCATCTTGAGGTCAGACTTAGGTCTTAATCACATTTTATCACCCTCTTCTCATCTTGCACCTGGCATAGTTGGTTCTTAAACATTTGTATCATACTAAAAACTAAATGATACATATTCACACTGGAAAGTACTAGGTCCTATCCCCCTAGCTTACTTTGATAAAGACATAGCACTATCATATTTACTCAAACTGTATGATAATGTCTTAGACTTAAATATTCTCAAATCATGCTTAATTCTTGGGAACATACCTGAAAATACAGACTACAGAAGGATTTAGAGAAAAATAGCTGGAAAGATCAGTATCCTTCCAAGTTACATTTATAAATATTCCAACACTTTAGGGCAAGGATGACTGATATCACTTTCTCCTTTTAAAGTGTTGTATCTTGCTAGGTGCTGGTGGCTCATACCTATAATCCTAGCTACTCAGGAGGCTGAGATCTAAGAATTGTGGTTTGAAGCCAGCCTGGGTAGGAAACTGTGAAGCTCTTATTCTCAACTAAGCACCAAAAAGCTGGAAGTGGAGCTGTGGCTCAAGTGATAGAGCACTAGCCTTGAGGAAAAAACAAAACAAACTCAGGGACAGTGACCAAGGTTTGGATTTAAGCCCCAGGACCAGCACATACATATGTGCATGTGCACACACAGAAAGTTCTATCTCTATACAATCTTGTAGCCACTGGTAAGATTTAAGACTTAAAAGCCTTTTGGTACCTCGACTGTCCCTAGTCTTCCTTACTAATTTCATATATTACCGACTATACTACTCTTTCCCTCTCCCCCTTTCCCTCTTTCACCCTTTTATCTTTCTCCCTCCCCAACCTCACCACCTCTCATAGGGATTTGAACTCAGGGCTCTATACTTGCTGCTGGGCAGGTACTTTACCACTCGAACTATGATGCCAGTCCAGCATTTCTCAATGTTAAGCAAATTCAAATATTTTGTTTTAATGAAGAATTTTAAAGCACACATATTCTGTTTATCTTCTAACAAATCAAGTTCCATTATAATAACAATAAGAAACTGTCAAATTCCCTGGTTACACTTACTATTCTAATGTAATATATTGCTATAATAACTTGGCAATACATTTCTTAAAGTTTGGAATTTACTTGTAATATTGTTCCTTAAAGGCTTCTATTAAAATAATAATTGGAGTTGGTTCAACTAAAGACAGGCTCAGCTCAATTCCTGACATCACTGTCCAACAGAGACAGTAACTGATGGTTGGGACAAAGACACCCTTACTCTAACCAAAACATCACCACAGACTATGCAGTCCACTCAAGCATTCAGATATCCTGCTTTTATTTGATCTCATTTTACTTAGGAAGGGAATTCTATTTATTTACGAGTACTGTTTCCTCCAGTAATAAATTTCCTACACTATGTAAGATTATACTAGTGACAGTGATCATTAATTGGATGTGAGACACTGTGATTTTTTTAGAATGTGTCACTCATATATGTGCAGTGATGTCTCAATAAACAATGTTAGCATTTTATGTATAAACTACACTGTGTACTACTATTGCTGGCTAGTGTATTCCTTCTACAGGAAAAGTTCACTGTGTACGTGGGCTAGCAGCAGCCTTGCACACGTCATATTTACCACAACTCCTGACTACTTCAAGAGTCATGGCAAGTGACTGACCCAGACTATCCGGTTTCTGTTTCACAATGAGAGTATCACCTAACACTTTTCTTAGTATGTACCCTTGTCCATAAAGACATGTGTAGCTATTCCTACCTGATCTGTAAGTTTCTATGCACTCACATAAAAAACACAGTTCTTAACAACATAGTTCTTTGTCTTTCTAAACTGAAATAAAAGCAGAGTTCCAATTCAGTCAAGTTTCCTTCTATCATAGAAAGCATTCACTGTCAAACACAGTACATAAAAATACAGATACATTCCTCTTTCAACTGAAGAGTCCATCTATAACTTTTCTATCATATGATTTAAATTTTTTTTTTCCAGTCATGGGGCCTGAACTCTGGGTCTGGGTGCTGTCCCTCAGCTCTTCAGCTCAAGGCTAGCGCTCTACCACTTGAACCACAGTGACACTTCTGGCTTTTTTCTTTTTTGCTTATGTGGTGCTGAGGAATCGAACCCAGGGCCTCATGCATGCAAGGCAAGTACTCTACCACTGAGCCACCTTCCCAGCCCATGATTTAAATTTTTAATGATGTCCCATGCCCTCATCTTCAAAAAACAACTTTTAACAGAATGAATTTTTTTTCTACACACAATTTTATGGTATACTTACAGTTTCACAAGTAAGACATCTGGTTTCATTAGTTAATGTTCCCTGAAAAATCTCGTGAACCCACGTTGGGTCTGGTGTGCTGTTGTTATTTTCACTGTCAATATTACCATTAGGTAAGCGGCCATTTTGTTTTTCTTGCTTTCTCTCTTCTTGTAAGATATCAGCAATTGTGTTTAGTAGGTAATTTAAGAATTCATGGGCATCTTGTTGCATGTAGTTGTCAAAAAGCTCTAAAAATACAAATGGAGCATTAGAGAATTACTTCAGAACACAAATTTGAAAACAACAATACAAACAATATTTTACAAGAACTAAAAGTATTAATATTTATTATTATCTATAGTATATAAGAAATGAGTGACTTTCACATCTAAAATTTATGACTTAATTGGAGGAAATAAAAGTTAATGATGAATACAAAGCTTTAAGAAATACTAACTGATCCACAAGAATAAATACCTGTCCTCACACATTTATATGGTAATGGAGAGACAAGAAGTAACTACTTTTTATTGTATTTATTGTCCCACAAATATTTCAACATGGTAAGCTTTCAAGGAGAAGCTGCATAGCCACTTGCCTAAGGTCTTAAGCCAACTGGTAAAGAAGCAATTTATTAAAAGTAAATTACTGGGCTATGTGTGCATTCCAGAGTTCATTTAGTAGGTGAGGGGCGAGGTCTGGAACCTGTGTGGTCAAGAATGATCCATGTAAGCCATATAATCTCTAACATCCACTCCATCTATGAAATTATAAAATGTCATGAGTGTTCATTGCAGTTATACAAATGATGGGCTATAAAGCAAACACTGACTGTGCTAATATCAAACATTGGCTTTGGTGTAACATGCATATCACAGGAGTCTAAAAACTTTAGAGGCTTTGGTGTAACATGCATAGCACAGGAGTCTAAGAACTTTAGAGGCTTTGGCGTAACATGCATATCACAGGAGTCTAAAAACTTTAGAGGCCCATCTCATTTTCCTCTTAACTATGTGACACTGTTATTAACCTTATATTACAATAGGAAATGGGATCAGGGAAGGCTAAAGATATCTGCCTAGAAAGGGAGAGGTCAATCAAACAGGCAAGTGCCTCCACTTGCCTAATGTTAATCCTACTAACCAAGAAAACATTATTCAACAATCACAAAAACCTATGCATTATTCAATGAACCGCAAGGAGAAAAATCATCAACTTTTTTTGTGTTTGTTTAGGTGCCAGTCCTGGGTCCTGAACTCGGCCTGAGCACTGTCCCTTAGCTCAAGGCTGGGCCTCTACCACTTGAGCCACAGCTCTACTTCCAGCCTTTTGTAAGTCCTCTCTGGAATTGCTTTGAATCTCAACCCTCAGATCTCAACCTCCTGAGTAGCTAGCGCCCAACTTGTCTATGCACATTTAATAAGTTCAAGAAAGGCTCATTTCTTCCTCTAAAGACAAATGCATAAAAATTTAGAAGAAAATTTAAAGTGTTTCTAAGAAAAAGAATTAGAAATTACATGTTAGAAGAGGTACGGATGACTTCATTAGTTTCTATGTTCCAAATAATTTTTAAGACTTAAAAAGAAAAACAGTAACAGTAAAACCTGGAAAGTATTATGATTTTCAGTAATTCAAAGAAAGTAGGTTTCAGACTTGAAATGAATAATTTATAGAAAAAAATTCAAAAAACTAAGAAATATAAGAATGTTCAACCCTATACTAGAAAAGGTTTTGAGCATTCTGAGTAGAAAGGCCCAATTCCCAGGATATTTAAATTTAAAAAAACAAACAAAACTAGAAAAAGAAACACCAAAAAACTAGCAAATGAAAATAACAAATAATTCATCATAAATAAAGGAAAAATATTATGACAATGTAAACAAAAAAGACCCCACTCATCATTCTACTCATCACTTTGACAAAACAAAAATGACTTAGTGCCTAGTGCTGACTTAACTGTGGAGAAATGAGCCACAATAGCTGTAACTGTGAATGACCTGGCATGTGTTAGAAGAACAATTTCGGTATCAGCTTTGAAGACCACGTAACCTAGTTTTCTTAAGACAGCAATGCCAGGTAAACTATCTGTGTCATGTATTGAAATAAATCTGTATAACATGGTTCATTCATAAAAGCAAAAGTCTAAAAATATTTTATAAACAGAATGGCTTAAGCTATAATTTCATTATGGAACACTCAACAGAAATAGTTCCACATGAACTAATAAGGCAAATTTCTTAAGATACTGAGTGAGGCAAAGATGCTAAACATGTACGTGTAATAGATCCCACTTATAAAACATAATGACCAAAATGCCACATAAAATGTAACTATAGTTTTCTATTTGGACATTATTTATTAAAATGCAGAGAAAGGCTTCGTAGACCAAGATATTCTTCTCAGGAGAAGAACAAAGGGCTGGAAGGGCATATAGCATCTAGAGGAACTTTCAGTTCATATAGAGATTTTGCTGTAAGAATATGTGCATTTTGCCAGGCACTGGTGGCTCATGCCTGTAATCCTAGCTACTCAGGAGGCTGAGATCTAAGGATCAAGGTTCAAAGCCAGCCCGGGCAGGAAAGTCCACGAGACTTTTTTTTTTTGGGGGTCCGATCGTGGGGCCTGAACTCTGGGCCTGGGCACTGTTCCTCAGCTCTTCAGCTCAAGGCTAACGCTCTACCACTTGAGTCACAGCACCACTTCCAGCTTTCTTTTTGCTTATGTGGTGCTGAGGAATCGAACCCAGGGCCTCATGCATGCAAGGCAAGCGCTCTACCACTGAGCCACCTTCCCAACCCTCCATGAGACTCTTATCTCCAATAAATCACCAGAAAACAGGAAGTAGAACTGTGGCTCAAGTGGTAGAGTGCTAGCCTTGAGCTGAAGAGCTGAGGGACATCGCCTAGGTCTAGAGTTCATATGTGTATTTTTTAAAGATTCTTTTTAAGACACATTCTCATATCACTTGTGGCTATTTCTTTCATTCATTCATTCATTCATTGATTAACTGCTTGCTTGACTGGTACTGGGATTTGAACTCAGAGCCCTGAATTAGCCTGGCTGGTACTCTACCACTTGAGCTCTGCTATTCAGACATTTAACAATAAAAAAAAAAAAAAACTTTCCACACACAACGCCTTCTTCCCTCCTCTCCATCATGACCTGCTGCATGTCTTCATATCTTCCCATGCTTTAAAAACTATTCCTGCATTGTATCTAGTCTGCTCCATTTCCATATCTCAATCAATTCAACTCTCTTTACTTAGACTACTAAAAAGGCTCCTGCATTTTCCATTTCACAAGGAAAATACACCAGCAGCTTGATTTGTAGTGCTTGAATCTTTCTACCTAAGGAATTTCCTTGACTTCCCTTGCATTTTGTATTTTACATTGAATATCCCAGGCCCATTATTTATTTTCACATACCCAAATTCACTCCGCAGATTTGTATTTCAAATCAATACAATAATAATCCAACTAGAGTCACTCTTCATTTCCCTTCTCTCAGTTTAGCCTAAAGGATTCCAATAGCCTAAACTCCCAATGTTATGTTCAAGAATACTAAAAACCATTCTAAGAGTTACCTTAGCGTATGTGGATTTAACATCTAATTATCTTTAACTTGGTAGACTCTATGTCCACTAGTTTATGTGCATGACGGACAGCAGATTCCCACTGTCCCCCAATGCCCATTTACTGGTCACAACAGAAGTCACTGAAGCTCCCCACGATACTGTGGGCAGTCTGTAACTCTGCAATCCTGTTGGTGGTCCACTTCACCTGAGATCAGGTCCATTCCAAAACATGGATCATGGAAAAGACAGGGGAAGGAAGAGGAAAGGGAGAAAAAGGCAAAGCAGAAAATGGATTGGAAAAGTCGTGGGGGAACCTAAAGAGAATGAAGACTCCAAAAACATTTTAGAAGAACAGCGGTGGACTTAAGACTTGGAGATGACTGATTTACTACAGCAGACAGTATTGTGCTGGCTTACTGCCAAAATCTCAAATAATTATTTTTCTGTTAAAATTATTTTGGCACATATGCATTTAAAAATAACTGCTTTTGTAAAGCAAAACATGTAATTTTTTTGAGATCTGCAATTTTTTGAGTGTTCTTTTATCAAAGAACAATGGCTTCAGATCCACAGAAATACTTGAACTGAATTGAATCTCTGGAAACGTGATGTAAACCAGAATGTCAAGTATTTCAATAATTCAAAGTCCACTATCAGTAAATATATTACACTCATATGCTGGACCCATTAAGTAACAGAAATCAGAGAACTACAGTTTTAAAAATACCAATGAGGCCACATACATATATTAAAGTAACATCAATGAGATGACCTCAGAACAATCTCTGTGAATTGTATTACATTTAATTATATCATTGGGTTTCTTACTGTTTGGTTTCTACTCTACTAAGTAACAGTGAAAAAGATGGATTTCAAAATGTTTCTGCTAAGTTAAATAAATGCATTCATTCATTCACTCATTCAATAACTATTCAGTAAGCATCTACTTTGTGCCAGGAATTGCATTATGTGCTTAGAATACAATGGTAACCAAATACAAATAGGTTCCCTCCATCATGGAACTGACAATTTAATAGAAGAGATAGACAGGGGGCTGGGAAGGTGGCTCAGTGGTAGAGTGCTTGCCTTGCATGCATGAGGCCCTGGGTTCAATTCCTCAGCACCACATAAGCAAAAAAGAAAAAAGCCGGAAGTGGTGCTGTGGCTCAAGTGGTAGAGCGCTAGCCTTGAGCTGAAGAGCTGAGGGACAGCGCCCAGGCCAAGAGTTCAGGCTCCACGATCGGACCCCCCCCCAAAAAAAAAGATAGACAATTTCAATATTAAATAAGTGCTTGATTCAGCTGTAATATTAATTCAAAACAATGAAAACTAAGTCTCTGATTATAAAATGATATTTGTTATAATGCAGAAATAGCTATAGCTTTTATAATACAAAAACATTTCCTGTGCTTTTTTTGGGAAAAGAGACTGGCTGGAATACAAATAATTACTTCCTCAAATTAAATAGGTGTTATTTGTAAACAACTAATATTTAATTATTTGAGGAAGACTAAGACCCAATACATATATTTAATTTTTATTTACATGTATAATTAAAATCAAACACACATTTGATATTACATCTCTCCACATCCCCTAAAATCCTGCTCTATACATGCAGGTTCCTTAAGGAACTAGGACTCTTCTTAGCTCTTCCACTGCTATATCCCTAT